ATCCAAGGAGTATGTAAATAACTATAACTTTGGAAAATATTTTATGGATGGTTCAGATAATATAATTAATATCAAAAAAAATCAGTGAAGCAAAATATCATGTTTAATAAATTATACTGAAAAAAGGAAATTATTAAATTTGAAAATACATGCATATGATTGATTATATACACATGTTATGGATAGATCATCATATGGAAAAAGTAATTGCTAATTCATATAGAAAAAAAAATAGAAAAATAATATAGAAAATAAGGTGCAAAACTATTTCAAATATATAAGAATTTGTATGAAATAGATTGAACTATGGAAATAATATTACTAATAAGAAAAATAGATATCAATCATAATCAGCCGGTAAAAGGAGGAGGAATATATACGCAGGAATAATGATGTTCCGTTTATTTATTTCATAAGATATCTGATTAAAAAAACATGAGAAGGTTATATAAAAATTCAAAAGTGATAATACTATAGATAAATCAATGAAAAAAAAAAATACATATAAAAAAGAAATTAAGTAAAATCCGATTAAACATAATTGTATATATAATTATAAATATTAAAAGAAAAAATATAATATTGCATATATATAATAAGACCCAAAAAAAAAACCTAAAAAACATAACCCTCAAACTGAAAAACAAAACACAGAACCCTAAAAGCTAAACCCTGAAACGTAACCCCTGATCCCCAAAACCCTGAAACCGAAACCCTTGCACCCTGATATTAAACAAATGAATAGGGGAAAAAGAAGTCCTCAAGATTATTGCGAGTATTATTACATAGGAATCAGTGTATTCCAGAAATGTAGTTGTGTATAATTATATTTTAATATTTTATTTGTATCGCATAAATAAGCAAAGAACCTGAATAACTTTCATTATTTTGAAAAAAAACTATTCACTGTATTAAAGAAGTAAATGAAGAATTGAAAATATAAATGAATAATGTATATAATTTTTACTTAATGTTAAAATGATGTTAAAACTTATTATCTCTTGTTAAGTATGAACATATATTGTCCAATAAAATTTAATAAGAATCTATAACCTTAATGTATCATAAAAACGGCATTGTTAATTTTGGGCAACATTAAATTGGATTTTACACTAAAACATGCTTATTATTGAGTGAATATAAATTATTATCTTATCTTATTTTGAACATTTTTTCTATGCCAATAAAAATCATATATATTAGTTCCTTTTTTTTTTTTTTTTTTCATATTCAAATTCACATAGTACATGTGCTGATCTTATAAAAATAGTCTTACCATAAGTATTTATAGTTTTTTTATGTGATTAATGAATAATTATACAACAGGGGAACTATATTTTAAGCAACATATATGAATAATACAAATAAAAATTAATTTTATTGTTGTTTTTGCTATACAGTTAAAATGACATTTACCATAGTATTCAATAAAATATAAATTTATTTATACTTACAAATAAGTAAAAATATTTTATTTTATAATTTAATTTAACAATGTAAAATATAATTCTTATATTATACTACTTCTATATGTGATAAATTATAATATCATTTATAAAAATAAATCATTTACTATTATAAGAAATGATTAAATATAGAAACAGTTATTACATAATGTTCATAGTATAAATACATCAAATGTGCTTATTAAAAAGGATACAAAAAATATTTAATATATCATGTTTTAAATAATGATTATGCGATAAAATTATATTTTTACTTTTATTATAATTATATCAGGGTGTATATATAAAAATGAATTATATAATACATAAATAAGGGAGTTATTTTACAAGAGTATACACATAATAAATAAACACAATTTATAAAAATTTACGAAAATAAATATAATCAATTTTAGTATTATATCATATGGAATAATCTATTAAATTTTTATAGTAAATTAATTACAATTATTTAAAAACATCATAATAACTATAATTTATGTGTCAAATGTTTATTTCAACATCAACAACACAACATTGTACATTATATTCCAATGTAATCATAAGAATAGTGTAAATGTTAAAATACAGTTTAGTACATTCACATTTAAAATTTATGTGAATGATGCATATTTTATATAATATATATTCAAAATTAAAAAAATTATTTTAAAGTTATGACATATATAAATAATACTCATGTTTTATTTTAAATTCATAATAGTGCGCATAAGAAAATGACAACAAAAGCTATATGTTTTATTTTTTGCATTATATTGATTTAGGCGTAGAAGCATATTGTGTTATTTCTATTAATGAAAAAATCTATTATAATTATAATGCTAAAAACTTAGATTAATTTGTATCTTTGTGGTTCAGGAAAATTTATAATATTATTTAAGAAAGTCTTTTTAATTTTCATAAATAATATTAGATGTAAAAATATAGAAATGATAATATATAATAAAACTATTATATTTGTTTATTTTTTTTATAAAATTCATATTGGTTAATTATATCTGGGTTTCAGCATATTAGTGTACTTAGTAGTTTATTTTATTAAAATAATTTAAAATTTATAGCACAAGTAATTATCTATTTATATCATAGAATGTTAGAGATGGAAATAGTAATGTATAAAAAAAAGTATTAAATTTTATACGAAGGATAACAATAATATATTTTAATGTTCCTACATAAGCGATAATACATCGAATTAAATATTAAATTTCATACAGAATTTAAAGGCATAAATATAAAAGGAATTTTACCTGCCTTTTTCTATATATTATAAATTATGCAGAACAATTTCTATTTAATTTACATTTATATAGATTATATTTAATAAATATTTACATGTTATGAGAATATTTTTATTGAATTACATTTTTTTATAATGTATGCATTCTTTATTTTTTTGATAATGATATGTAATACCATTTATATTTAATTACCATATATTTCTTAAATGAACGTACAAAATAGTCCCTATATGTGTTACTTTTATATCAGTTCATTACGTTCGTCTATATTGTAAAAGAAAAAGTGAATGAATAAAAAAATATAATATATATCAGAACAGAATGAAATATTCATGTACTACAATATATAATATTTATATATTGTAAATTCTCCAAAAATATAATTTAAACATATATCATATGTAAAGTTGGCTGCATATACATAGATACAATATTTAATGTGAAGTCAAGAAATATAAAAAGAATCACAATTATGACTTTATTTCAAATCTTTTAATTGATTTAAATTAATAATAATATTAATAATTTTATAAAGCTCATATATATAAAATGTAAATAAAGTTCGTATCCAAATCTTAAATTATATTATATGATTACTGTACGATAAGGACAATATTAAATATATACAGTATTATATATAATATGCTAAATTAAATAATTGTATTTCTGATTGATTATACTTTTATTATATAACAATATTTACACTTGTATCTTATAAGATGTATATAATTGCAACAAAATATTTTTCAATTTTATTTTAAAATATATACATTTTTACATTTATATAGGAATAAAATTTTTTCTGTAGTATCACTTTTTATTAAAAATATAAAACAAAAGTGTATGATATATTCCATTGCGCTTACTAAAAATTCTTATCCCATACAGATAGTGTACATTAATCTTATTGTGTTAAAATCTAATGAAAAATCTTGCCTATTTCTAAAGGGATGTAAACGTTGCATATAATACCTTATTATATTCTCCCTATAATTTTTATCATATATAAATTTCTTGATTTTAGAAATCTATATATGAAGTATAAATAAACAGAAAATGTAACACATGTAAATAACCTTATTAATTTTGCTCTTACATAAGTAGAAATATTCCTTATAATGTCATTAAACATTTTATAAAAATTTTTATAGTACATTATAATAAATAAAAAATACAAGAAGAAAAATTATTAAAAGGATAAAAATAGTAGATAAACTAGCTTTTAATGGAGATATAACGTAACAATAGTAATCAGTAGAGGGTTTCCATTGGCACCAATTTTCTTCTTCGTCCTGAGCTTTTTGTTTTTCTTCCCATAAAGCCTTTAAATTTTCATTCAATAATTTGTTTGCACCACATATCATATTATTATTCCTGTATTCATCTACTTTATTATTTAACCACTCTTTAAAATAAGTGCAAACATTATTAAATAATTCATGTTGGATTTTTGCATTAGTGTAATTTTCATAGAGCAAACATCCAATGTGAAAAGAATTATGATCATTATACTTCATTCTTTTCAGTATCATATTGTAATCAACAACATCACTATTTATTTGCGCTTTATCCCATCCTTCAAATAATTTATATTTGTCCGTATTTTTTTTAAATTGACTCTATAAAAAAGTAATTATAAAAAAACAAAGTTGATAAAAGCTAACTATATAAATAAACAAATAATAAAAGAAATAGGAAATTAAAAACATTATATTTTATTTATATCTATTATAGTAAAAGTAATAAACAATGAATTTTATTAACCATGGTAATTTATTGAATGAATAATATTAAGGTGTTAGAGATTTTAATTTATTTAATATATTTAAAAAACTAAAAATATATTTGCTTTAGCATTATCTTTTATAAAGAATAATATAAATTTTGTTATTTAATAAATATGCATATACAAATATACTTTTATTTTGTGTAATTTATTCGTCTCATAAAAAGTAGCATTATAAATATTACATTATTTTTTTTTCCTTAATAATAATTATACATTTTTATATTTTAAAAATTAATGATATATTTACAGCATATATATAACACAATATTGGAAAATATTAATATAAATAATAATACTAAATTTTATGAACATATTTATTTTTAATCTAATATTATTATACGAATCAACTTCATATGTTTCATGCATGTATTTTTAGTTATATATTTTTTAAACTGTAATTATATGTAAAAATATAATTTCATATTTAATACATTGTATTCGTGTGTTCTTTCATTCTTCATATTATTAATCTAATTCTTTCGTTTTCAATAAATTATATTATCACAACAACTGATTATGTTTCATGGATTTTAATCACATGAATGTTTAAAAAAAATCACCTATTTGAAAAATCTATTTATATGTATAACCAAATATGAAATAAAATATAAATCCATTTTCCTTTGTGTATATTAATTTTAAGGGTCTAAAATTTTATTATTAAAATATTTACATATTTTCATTATTCTTCTGAGATTTTATAAATAATTTTCATTACAAAAAATATATATTATCAATTATTATGTGTATATATAAAATTTGTAATATAAATATTTATAAAATTAAAACAAAGCCTTCTAATTAATGTAATACGAAGAATATTCAAGAAATATTTGCTTTACAAATAATATTGCTATTATTTTTATATAAAAAAAAAATAAAAAATTGACTTAAAATCTAAGAATAATTTAATATAAATTAATGTAAATATTTTGATTTATTTTTCAATTAATTTCAATATATAGCTATGAAGTGGGGAAAATTATTTTTGCTATGAGAATATATTAATATTATATTTTATACCTTATTTAATGAATGCCACACACTAGTCATACTTTAAAATTAATATGAGTTGCATATACTTTTTTTATGGATATTCTATGAATAGAATAGAGAATATTTTAATTATTTATTATTGAATAATTTATTACTCTTTTATAGTTATTAATCAGGATATATTGGCTGAGAGTACGTTTAACATTTTATAAAAAGCACTAAAAGAATTAAAAAAAAAATACATAGTATTGAATAATTTCTTGTAATTGTAAAAGATAAATAATAACATAATATATTTTAGAAAAATATATATATGTGTGTCTAAATAAACGCAATATTGTATAATATTTTACTTAATATATATTTATTGTAAATGCTTATTCTAAACATTTATGGATACAATAATGAAAAATAATCAAGAATAATATTTCTAAATAAAAATAATTATAAAATATGAAAAAAAAAATAATAATATAAAGGAAATTTAACATTACAAAAACATAAATGTATTTGAAAATTTTATGATTTAATAAGTAATGAATAAGTGTTAATATATGATTCAATAAAAACAAATATATTTACATTAATGTTTTGTAAATATGAGTTATAATTTAGAAATTATTTGAAGATTAGTAGTTAAGCTACTTTTATTATTCTCCTTTTATTGTTAATCTTTATATGTTTTAAAAAGATATATATTATATGTTCAATAAATTATTGTGTTATATTGATTCTTGCTTGTGTTTTTATTTATAATATTATATATCACGAGAGAAAATTCAGTCACATAATAGTGGGGGGAAATGCTATGTAATTAGAATATATGATTTTTATATATATTTTTACTTAGAATTCATTGAATATTTTATTTTTTTTTTTTGATATATACAACCATTTGTTATTGTATATACAGAAATAGTTGTGAATCCATACAAATTTTATATGGATAAAGCAAGTATAAAAGAGAAAGAATAATATATTTTGAAAAAGTACTATGTTTATTTACGCAAAAAAATAAAAAGAAATATTATGTTGTTATAGATAAATATTAAAAATATCACAATATATACTTTAAGGTATAACAAAATGTGTATAACTATGTAATTCGTTCATAATATTACACACAGTAAATTATATTATCAGCAAAATAGCTCAAAAAATATATATTTAAAATCAGGAGCCAAGAATATGAAACACGTATATATCTAAATTTTATGATAATAAGTTATTTTATATTTGTAAATTTTTATATTATATTACATTGGCTGAAAATATCGTATAACATAATAATATAGTAACTATATTAATGACATATACATTAAATGTTAAAATAATAATTAAACACATATGAAATTTAATAATAAAACAAAATTTATATTAGAAAGAGACTGTTTATTTTATTACAGAAAATAAAATTGTCTTAATACGAACTCTAAATTTTTTTCTTGAATTTTCCTATATTATGATAATAAAGAGCATAAGATTAAAAAGAATTCGTTCCTGGAAAGAGATAACCAAGGTCATTTGATTTAGTTAGTAATGTATCAATGTATATCCAAAATATATGTATTTTAGAAATGAATAAAATGAAATACAACATAATTATTATTGTTCATGTTCTGCTATTTCTATTGAGGAAATTTCCATTTATTAAAATTCATTTATAAGATAAGATATAATTAGGTAAAAATAAATTAATTTCGTAAATATTTTAAACAACATTTGTTCATATATTTTAATGTAATAGAATTATTCTATTTTTAAATAATAAGATTAAATTAAAAGTACGGTATAGGAAATTACATATTTCATAAATCCACGAAGGGTTGCAAAAAATATGTGATATATATTTCTTCTAGGACATAATTTTTTAATAATATTATTAAGGGAACAATTTTTAATACATAAAATAAATTATTTCGTATCATGCATGTAATTATAACAGAATCTTACAACATAAATATGAACACGCAAAAATAAAGTATGCCTATATAGTTATTGATTAAATTAGCAGGTAGGAATAATAGCATTTCATTACAGAAAAATATTATTGATACATCATCCAACAATTCCTGTATAATCCTTATGTGCAAAACATATATATATTTATAATGAATTTAAAGAATGAATCTCTAAAAGTCATACATGAAATCCATATAAAGAAATTGAATTATATCAAAATATGCTAAAATATGTTATTGCTATAATAATCATATATATTTTTGTTTCATGTATATGTTACGAGATTTCAGATATCCACTATCCTCAATATTTAAATTTAAGATTATAGCATTAGGTATTTACATAATTTAAAATATAATAGGCACATAATTTGTATAAATAATATTATATATGAATAAAGACTATTTTTACTTGATTAAAATAATTATACAAAATTACATGAATCCTAATAAATTAATAATATAGAAAAATAAATTGAATATAATTATATATAATAATAAAACAAAAAAAATTGTGTATTCAAAATTCATTCGTTATTCATATTTACATAACTTATTTATGAAGTACTATAATTTTATTTATATAAGATTAATTATAGATTCTGTGTATTATGGCATCATGATATTATGTCATTATATATATAATATGAGTATATTGTAAAAAAAGTTCATATGTAAGAAAAGATGAAAATTAATGTATTATTAAATTAACTATGTAAAAAATTTGCTACACATGAAATACAAAGAAACCTGAATAAATTCACATTTTTTTTTATTATTTTTATCTTAATACGGTATATATCATAAGCGTTACTTCGATTACATTAAATAGGTATAACCATATTTCGAATTAAATAATACTCCTAATAATAAACTTTATTAATTTCATATATATTAATGACAATATAATATACAATAAAGTTCATGTTTGTTACATAATAATCTTGTGATATTGTGAATAAATCATTATATATATGTACAGTATGTATGCAAGTGTACCACATCTCTATTACGTATATAGTATTCCATTAAAACTCATTTAATTAGAGTAATATATATTATAAATATTATGGTGCGCAGTAAATATGTTCTTAAATGTTTATTTTAATATATAAATAAAGCCAGAGAACTAGAAAATCCTAATAATATATGAGAATACATATGTAGGATGTTTGTTATTGATATTTCTATTTAATCTGTCCATTGGGGGTGAATTATGGGAATATGTGGATTTATTTTCTGTTATTTTAATAGCGACATCAGTGATATAGTTATTTATGTAAAAATATTTTTAAAAAACTACAAACGCACTTTTCCTTTAATTTTGTGTCACCTGTCTTTTATAACTTAATATTTTACAGTATTTATCATAATAAAATAAAAAATATATGTATATATTTTATTTATAGTTGTAATGAATATAACATATAATTATATAAAAACTAATCATATATTTTTCAAGTAATCTGGTTATATTTATTATCAAAGAGAAATTTGTACTTCTGAAGAACATCTGTAATATATGCTTAATATTCCAATTAATAGTAGGTTATATGATTACAATAACATGAATAAAGGAAGAAAAGATCATGTGTAATCTCATTTTCTATTTAACTATATTTAAATTATTATATGTATTATACATTTATCATGATTACATAAACATTTAATTATATAAATGTATCCTTTTTCGGTATATCAATATAATTTTTTAGCCTACTAGCACGTAGTTATTTATACTTTAATATGCTTTTATATATAACCTACGTGTGTTTACGAGTTCTTATGTATCTGATTATATATATAATAACAGAATTAATATTTTTATCATTCATTAGTATATGTAAATTTTAATGTATGTATTATTCTATTTTCTGGTAACATACTTCATTTAATGTATTTGATAATAAAAATAATACATGAATATATATTATGAACTTTCAAAATTGTATTTATTCTCTAATTATTTTCATAAAGACCATTCTTTTTAAAAATAAAATATATAATATTTATATAGGTACGTACTTTTTTGTGTATTAGAAATAACATAGATAAATGACCCATTTTAAATAAAAAAGAAGTAACTTAACATTCAGTTTATATATATATGTTTTATTATAACGTATGCATAAATTAGAATTTAGCTATCCATAAGGTATATTTACATTTAAATAAGTAATACCTTTCGAATAGTATAAAAATTATTATAATGAATTGATTTCTTGGTTATTCAATAATTTTTAATAAATATATTCGAAAATACAGAAATTAATGTAACAATAGATAACAAATTCCATTCTTAAGTAGAAATTTGTAATTTCAAAATATATAAAATTTATTTAAAATTTGAAAAATAAAAGATCAATTTTGCTTAAATTATAGACTAATATATGAGCACTTTAATCAGTA